CCTCCAGCTCTTTCTCTCCCTTGCTCCCAGGCAGGCTGGTCTTCAGGTCTATTAAGACTCCAGTTCCCTGACTTTATTCTTTCCTTACTCACTGGTTCCTAATGTCTTTACTTCTCTTCTTAAACTAATCTCAATATCATACTGCTTCACCTCTACTCCTCTACTAAATGGTCTCCTCCATCTGAATTGTTTTCCTGGCTTCAGAATTACCCCTTAAATTCCTCCTCTACATTACAACTAGGGTGGTCTTTCTACTAAATTTCATATTCCTCACCTGCCCTAAATCTTCTATTGTCAACTACTACCCACTTCCAGAAGGTACCATAATCCCATAGTATCCACAATTTTGCATATGCTAGATCCTCTTCCTAGTTTAGCTCTTCTCTTGTTCTTTGCCTAAATAATTTCTATTTTTCCTTCAAGATTTAGTTTGGGCCTCACCTCCTCCAGGAAGTCCTCCCAGGTCTCCTCTAGCTTCTACGTAGTCCACGTGCCTCTTCTAGGTACTCCTATGGCACCGTGTGCTTCACTGGAATCATAGTTCTGACTATCCTGTAGTATCATTTTTTGTTAACTAATCAGGTTCCCCCTCTCAGCTGTAAGAGCCTAAAAACAAACATCCAACACATTTTTGTGGAATTAAATGGACATAGATTCTGGGTGGATTTGTTTTGTTCATTTGATACCAGTTTGACTTCACTTTTTTAAAGGTGGGAGAGATTTGAACATGTTTAAATGCTGTGGTTTAAGAGCTGTAATAATTAGAAATGAGAGGTTGCAGATTTGGGAGATCAAGAGCATAATAAATGGAACAGTGCCTGGGGAAGCAGAAGGGAGGGGCCCTGAGCACAGGTGGAGGAACATGCCTTGGGCAGGGGCAGAGAACCAGGCATCCTCTCCTCGGAGCCTGAAGGAGAGCACAGGTTCTGATGAATATGTCTGTTGGTAGGGAGCAGGAAACTAGGGGAGTTTCCAACTGAGGGCCTCTGTTTCCTCTAATCTAGGTAGTGGGTGGGTTGGTATCAAGGTGGAAAGAAATTTTGGGACAATGGCAAAGGTCTGAGAGACAGAACTGGCTAGGGGCCTGCAGCTTCTTCCCACACTTCTGTGACCTTTTTCTTTTATCCCCGAATCCTCCGCAAGTCCCAGTCTGTGGCCTAGTGCTCCTGAGCATGGCACCCACTCATCTTGTATGTGAAAAGTACTGAGCTCCTGCCATCAATGGATCTCTAAGTTTAGTGTATGTAAAACATTTAGCCAGCCCTGGCTCAGTGGATTGAGTGCTTGTCTGCTAACTGTAAAGGTCACTGGTTCAACTCCCGGTTAGGGCGCACGCCTGGGTTGCAGCCAGGTCCCCAGTTGAGGGCATGCTAGAGGCAACTGATGTTTCTCTCACATACTGATGTTTCTCTCCTTGCCTTCCCCATCTATGAAAATAAATTAAAATCTTTAAAAAAAATTTTAGCCCAATGCCAGGTACACAGTAAACACTCAGTAAATGGTAGTCCTTGTATTTACTAGCAAGAAAAAAAAATGTTGTCTTTTCTAGTTACGCAGCAGTGTTTACAGGATGAAATGATTCCTGTCCTCCAGGAGCTTATGTTCTTGTTGGAGAAGAACAATGTACCCATAAAACAGTTATAAAGAAATGCAAAGTGATTTGTGATGTTAACCAACATCCAAATAATGCTTTAAAAAAATCACAACCTTTTGCATCAAGACCTAGAACTCAGGTACTACTTATCCTTACTTCTTTGTGTGATGCCTTCTGATATTTTCTTTTCTATTCTATTCTACTTTGTTTTTAAAAAGTGATGATCACCATGGCTAGGTGTGGCTCAGTTGGTTGGAACATAGTCCCATATGCCAAGGAGTTGGGGGTTTGATTCCCAGTCAGGGCACATACCTAAGCTGTGGGTTCAATTCCCAGTTAGGACACAAATGAGAGGCAACCAATCGATGATTCTCTCTCACATAGATATGTCTCTCTCTCTCTCTCTCACACACACACATCAATAAATATATAAAATAATAAAAAAGTGATGATCAATGTTCACTGTTATGGGTTCAACTGTATCTCTTAAATATTCATATATTAACATGTTGAATTCTTTTTTTTTTAGATTTTATTTATTTTATTTTTAGAGAGAGAAGGAGGGAGAAAGAGGGAGAGAAACAACATGTGGTGGCCTTTCATGTGCCCCCTACTGATGACCTGGTCTGCAACCCAGGCATGTGCCCTGACTGGGAATTGAACCGGCAACCCTTTGGTTGGCATGCCGGCACTCAGTCCACTGAGCCACGCCAGCCAGGGTTGACATGTTGAATTCTTATGTTCCTCAAAAATTCATATTCATATGAGGCACCCCAGTATATCAGAATGTGACCTTATTTGGAAATAGGGTCTTTATAGAGGTAATCAAGTTAAAATGAGGTCATTAGGTTGGGCCCTAATCCAATCTGACTGGTGTCCTTAGAAAAAAAGGGGAAATTTGAAGATAGACTCATATACAGAGAGAGCACCATGTGAACATAAAGACAGTTATCTACAAGTCAAGGAGAGAGGCCTAGGACAGATTCTTTCTCACAGCCCTCTGAAGAGACCATCCCTGCCAGCACATTGATCTTGGACTCTAGTCTCTAGTACTGTGAGACAATAAATTTTTGTTTGTTTGTTTAAGCTACCCAGTTTGTGGTACTTTGTTATAGCAGCCCTAGGAAACTAATACACTCACCAAATTGATTTTGTGACTCAATTGGGTTACAACCTGCAATGTGGTTCTTTTTTCCTGTGCTTTCCTTCGTGCAGTCTTAACAGCCAGTTGGTGAGGTGGTAGGACCTGGAAGAGGGCGAGGCAGTTATGGCACCCACTTACAGAGCCGTGCAAGTGGGGGTGTCATTATTCAAAGTCTAGTCAACCCTGCAATTTCACAACCTGAAGATGAGTACTTCCTTAAGTTTTGCACCCTAGACACCTCCCTATCCTAGGCCATGTAAAGTACATGGAACTATTGTCTCCATTTAAAAGGGTAGACACAAAGTAGAATCAGACCCAAGCCAGATTTGCCTCCAAATTCTGGGTTCTTTTCATGATATCATAACATCCCCGATCAGTTGGAGAGGATGACGATAAATACTGTTTTCCTACCAGTATTTGTTCCTTACAAGTCTACCTACCCCCTAAAGAGAGGCAAAATTAGAGACTGCATTCACTCATCTCTTTCTCTTGCTAAAGTTCAGGGGAACTTGGACCTTCTGAGGCCCTGAGATGATGAAGCCTGAATTTAGCCACTGTCTGTGAACATCTGCCGGCAGAGTGGGCACCTGGGAGCACATATAACCTATCTGTGTTGTGAGTACTTGTGTGTATACACCACAATCCTAGGACAGATTCCCTGTGGGTCATCTCCACCCCTGCTTCCCCTCCTCTTCTATTCCCTGCCTTCCAGACATAGTAAACACATAAACACACGTACCTCTAAGAGGTTTTGTCTTGGTGGAGCTAATACTACCCCCCAAACTAGGGGTCTCTATGTAGAATGGAGGCTCTTCTGCCTTCTTTATTCTGGGCCATAAAAATGGGGCCTAGTGTTCACTGTGTGCCAGGCACTGTTCTAAGTCTTCATATGTATTATCACATTTTACTCTCATAACCTTATCAGCCAAGACTATTATTTGTTCTATTTGACAGATGACAAAACTGAAGCACAATGAATAAATTGCCCAGAGTTGTGCAGTTAGCAGTGTTGGCAGGATCTGAACCCAAGCAGCCTGTCTCCAGAATCCCAGTTCTTAACTACTACCCTCTGTTGTCTGGAGGGACCCATACATCCGTGCATTCTTGAACACACACGCATCCTCGTAGGGTGGAAGTGGGAGTTGGGTTCCGGGAATCAGTCCAGGCACCAGGGGGCAGCATAAGCCTAGCTTTGTCCTCTCAGCCCTACCCTGTTTGGGAACTGGGAAAGAGAAACCTCCTCCCACCTCCCTGTTCCCCCAGGAACCACTCTTTCCACACACCAGATCTCTCAGGTTTGGGGGTGTGAAGGCCTCTCTGGGTCTCTTGGCCTCCTCCAGAAAAAGCTGCAGAAACTATCCATTAGTTATGGTGATGACTCAGAAGCTGAGCAAGCCTTATATATGTGTCTTCTTGTGGCTACATGTGGCTCTGCTGACATGTCTGTGATCTGCCTGCACATGTGTAAGAGTGTGTGTGTGTGTGTGTGTGTGTGTACGCGCGCGCACGCGCGCCTGTGGTCTTAAGGTCGGGGAAGTTATGCATGTGTGTTTGTTTCTGGGTGTGTCTCAGTGTTTACCCCAGAAACAGGAACTTCACCAAGGTTGCACAGCAGATTCATATTCCAACTATTTGTCCCTTGGGAATCTGCAAACTCCAGCTAGTGCCCACTCCCATAGGTTCTGACGGGTAGAACCCTGCGGGGAGGGGGCAGCCCGAAGAACCCCTGCAGTCTTCCAGAATTCTGAGCTTGGGATCGTTTCCCTCCTACTCCCTCCTACACCCTCCCATCAGTGGTCACGGGACCTCTAAGGCGTTCCCTACCTAGAAGGGAGGGGGACCTAGGCATTCTAGAGGGCAAGGAGCTCCCTAGCTACTTTTCAGGGTCCTCCACTGGAGGGAGTGCAGAGCCCAGAGATATTAGCTTTTCCAGAGGCACCAGGGAGCCCAGTCCCTTATGAGCCCAAACGCCAGGACCTCTGTGAAAATTTGGGTCCGGGAGAGGCAGTTTGGGACGCCATGTCTCTGCTTGATATCAGGTGACCTTCTGGAGAAAAGTTAATCACTTTTGGGTAAAAAGAGTAAGTGGGGATCAAGCTCCCCTCTATCCAGGCCCGAGGGCCTGAACCCCAGTCCTGTCTCCCCACCACTTGGCACAAGAGACACACACGCTCACCTCACTTTCTTCCTCTTCCTCCTCCAGCCTACTTTCTCTTCTCTGTGTCGTCAGAGCTCCAGGGAGGGACCTGGGTAGACAGAGAAGCCGGAAACAGTGGGCTGGGGCAGCCACTGCTTACACTGAGGAGGAAGGACAGGGAGAGGAGAGAGAGAGAGAGAGAGAGAGTGTGTGTGTGTGTGTGTGTGTGTGTGTGTGTGTATTTTTTCTTTTTGGTGGTGGTGGTGTTGGAGGGCGGGTGCTGGCAAGGCCAGCCCTGAACTCGCTGGACACAGCTACAAACCCATGGCCTTGCAGTGCCTGCTGAAAGAGGGAGAAGACAGCAGATGGGTTGCCAAGGTGAGGGGATGCCTCCGAGGATGGGAGGGTGGGGGCCTTCTGACTATCAGTGTGTGTGTGTCACGGGTGGGGGGGGGAATTAGCCCGGGGCCTCTCAGGATCATCCCCATGGCGGGGTAGATGGCCCCCCAGAAACTGTTTCAACTGGTGTTGATAGCTGGTCTTCCTGGGTTTTGGCAGTTTCGAATCTCAGAGCAATCGGGGATGGGTACAGGCCCAGCACTACCACCACCCCTCCTTGGGTCACTTTCTACAACCCCCTCTGCTCCAGGGACTGGAAAGGCTGGGGAAGGAGGGCTAGGTGGTGCCCTTCTGCCCGCAGGGTGTTGTGTCGGGTGTTGTGTCGGGGGAAGTGGCTGCCCCTCCCTAGAGGGTTGATGCCAGTGAGCTGTGGGCCGACAAACCCCTATCCTTTACTCCCGTGAAGGTTCCTGGTTAGGAACTGAGGGATGAGCGAGCTCCAGATGTAGACCTCATGGTGCCCCAGAAGAGGGGGAATTTCCCCCTCAAAACTGCTCCACGCTTGGCTGCTGTAGACGCTGAGATTTCCCGGCTGCCCGGGGTTAACCCTCCGCGTGCCGACCTGGCTCCGCCTCCCGCACCCCTCCCCGCCCCCACCGCCGCCGCCAAACATTGGGCAACTCTGAGAAGCTCTTCTGACTTTTGATCCTGTGGTCCCGCGGTCAGAGGACTCGGGAATGGAGGGGCTGAGATCAGGTTTAGGCCACGAAGCAGGTTATGAGAACTCCGGGCGTCGGGTTTTTCTTCCCGGGTGGGAAGGGAACACTGGCCCTACCCCTTCACGCCGTGGCTCTTGAGTCCCGGGCAGTCTTAAGGGTGCTTTCACAGATAGTGCTCCCGTACTGACAAGCCGATCTTTGTCAATGACCGAGCTTTGTCATTGGGTGGGGGTGGGGGAAAGTGTGGTCTCCTGATGTCTGGGGACTGAGCAGGGGAGGAGGTTCAAAACCAGGGCCAGGCCGGGAGGCCGGTCGCGCAACACAAGGATATGGATGAAGGGGGACTGCCTATGACTTAGGGCAGTTCTCAATCGGCGAGGGGTAGACGGTCAAAGTTCTTAGCTCCATGAGAAACAAGAGAGGAAGAGAGAAGGAGTGGAGTCCTCCCTTGAATTTGAAACATGAACTCCCATGAATTTGAAATGTGCCCCACCCCAAAGTGGGATTAGAAGAAGACCTATTGGAGGTCCCTGAACGGGAGCGGATAGGAGTCTACTTTTGGGAGAAAAGAGCTTCGGGGGGGCGGGGCGGGGGTGAGGGACAAGAGGGCAAGAGGATTCTGTTTTGGGGAAAAAAGGGCTGGGGTCTGGGGGACTGAGGGCTGGGACTGGGAGGGAAGGTCTTGCAGCAGAAGTCTCCAGAGAAGGGCCGTCCTCTCTGTTCCCCATCCCTTTGGCAGTCCCGGGAGAAAGGAGAGGCTAAAAGCCCAACAGGAGGATTTGGGGCTACTGAGTTGGGGGAGACCCAGGGAATTTCCATCCCTTCTCTCCCTCGTCTCTGGGAGAAGTACATAACCAGAAACATGAACTGAGAGACCCCTGGGAAACCACTGGTTTACTTATCCCACCCTGCAGCCCACTCAGAACTGGGCTTATAACCCTCTCCCTGACTTCTCGCATCTCCTCCTTTCTTCTCTCCCTATTTTCCTCTCAGTCCTTGGCCTTCTAGTCAAGCCTCTGTCTTCCTCTCCTCTCCTGGCTCTTTACTCCAGGCTGCTTTTGCCCACTTCTTTTTTTCCTGTTCTCTCACCTTCTTCCTGAGCACAGTGTGGTGGTTAATCTTCCGCTGGAGTCAAATTCTGATTTCTGAACTTGCTGGCTGAATGGCATTGGCAAGTTAGAGAACACCCTTGAGACTCAGTTTCTTCATCTATTAAAGGAGATAATTATTTTAAAAATTGCTGTGAGGCTCTCATGAGATCATGTGCTTAGCGTAAGCCTCCTGCATAGTAAGTGCTCAATAAATAGTAGCTATTCTTGCTCTACCAGCCTCTTCTTCATCATCTACCTGGCTAGTTTTCAAATTATCTCATGGAGCCCTGGAATTTTGAGAGGTTTCCCAGGGACACCTGCGGGGTCAGAAGGTGGGATCAGGAGGTGGGGAGAGGCAAGTAGAACCAGTAGTGTTCCAGGCCTACCATACTTGCTTTCAATAGAGAGACTCCAATTTTATACCTGTTATATAATTGGGATTCCGCAGATTAAAACTGTAGCTTTAAAAAGTTTGGAAAGTTGCCCTGGCCAGTGTGGCTCAGTGGGCTGGGCGTCTCCCGCAAGTGAAAGGTCAGTGGTTCAATTCCCAGTCAGGGCACATACCTGGATTGAAGGTTCAGTCTCTGGGTGGGGTGTGTACAAGAGGTAACCTATCGTTGATGTTCCTCTCCTTTTCTTTCTCCCTCCCTCCCCCTCTCTTTAAATATAAATAAATAAAATCTTTTAAAATAAATAAATAATTGGGAAAGGTCTGCCTCTGTCCAAACATCATATTTTATAGATGAAAAGATTGAGGCGCACAAAGGGGAGATTCCTTGCCCACAGAACCAGAGCCAGGTCTAGATCTGCAACCCAAGCCCTCTGCCCTTTTCCAGAAATCTTTCCCTAGTGCCCGATCTCTCCTGTCTCCACATTTCCCTGGCTGCAGCTCAGCTCTTCCCACCTCGTCACCCCTGTGTCTACCACTGAAGGGGTCATTTTTCGCAGACACTGACCTGAAATGTCTCTGGTTTGAGGTGGCCTGGCTGTGAGTGGTGGTGGGAATGGTCTCTGGGAGGACTATCCACAGGAGTTCCCTGGCTGCCCCAGAACATAGGCCACCTTTCTTGAGCAGCTCTCAGAGTGGCCTGTTCCTTTCCTCCAGATGCCCTCCAAACCCCAGATCATGTCTCTGTGGGGGCTGGTCTCCCAGATGCCCCCAGAAAAACTGCAGCGGCTCTATGTTGACTTTCCCCATCACCTGCGGCATCTCCTGGGTGACTGGCTGGAGAACCAGCCCTGGTGAGTTCCCGCGGCCCCTTACTAATCCCCCAGGTCCTTCTCCACCTACTTTCCCTTTGATTAAATTTTCTCTGCACCGTTTCAGGACATGGGACCCATTATTTGACATGCGGTTGCCTAGATTAACAGGGGGTCTGTGCAGTATTAACCAGATTATGCATGTTGACATATGGAGTCCCCTACCCCCTTAGAAGGCTGAGCCAAAGAGGAGGGAGGTCAGGGCTGGGGCAAGGGCACTTCCCATTGTAGCTGGAAGATTGGTGAACAAGGGGCAAGAGGAGGGCTGCAGAGGGTCTGGATGGAGAGTAATAGAGGAAGGAGCCACTGAGCTGATTGCTGTGGGGCAAAGAGTTGGTAGAGCTGATGAAGCCCTGGCCCAAAGCTGCCTTATCCTGATTTTCCCACAGGGAGTTCCTGGTTGGCTCAGATGCTTTCTGCTGCAATATGGCCAGCACACTACTTTCTGCCACTGTCCAGCACCTTCAGGCCTTGGCCAGGAAGCCGGGGGAGGGGAGTGCCATCTTGCAGCACATCAACACCTTGGAGGTGGGGACGCCAGGGGAGGGGACAAAGCTGGAGTGGGGCTAAAGTGGAGCTGGGGTGAGCATTGAATGCTGCAAGAAAATTGGTTGGACACTGGAAGCAAATTGGTGTTCCTGTGGTTAGTTATTAGCTAGCATGCAAATTAGATTTTAAAAGCATGCAAATACATGAAAACGTCAGGAGTCTGCAGCTGTATTGCCTCTCGGGGGGGGGGGGGGTGTGTGTGTGTGTGTGTGTGAGAATTGAGGCTGGGTCGGGGACCGTGGTGTGGAGGGGGAGGCTGACATGGTAAGAGCCAGGCTAACTCTATCACCCTTCATTTCTGTAGAGCATATATCAGAGGGACCCCCTGAAGCTGGTGGCCATTTTCAGGCAAATACTTCAAGGAGAGAAAAAAGCTGTTATGGAGCAGGTATTGTGATATTCCACCTCCCACCCCAACTCAGTTCTCTGGAACTTTAGCCTGAGCCGTGAGAAACTAGAAGGAATTTGGACTTCAGGCAATGCTCGGTGTTCTAGGCCCAGGATGACCAAAGGAGTTCCTGTAGTCAGAGTGAACCCCAAGAAAAGCTCAGCGAAGCTTTCAATGAGGGACTGGGGGTAGTGAGGACTGGGGAGAAGAGCAAGGAGCTGATTCTGCTTATCTTTGGGAGATTCCAAAAGGTCAAAAAGAACTGTCAAAGGGGAGACAAGGGAAGTGGTCTGTCCACCCTTCTGCAGAGCATGGCAGCAGGCACCCCTTTAGGGAGTGGAGGCTGAATAGAGAGGGATGGGCAGTGTTACAACTCTTGATGCCTGTCCCTCCTGTGCAGTTCCGCCACTTGCCAATGTCCTTCCACTGGAAGCAGGAGGAACTCAAGTTTAACACAGCCCTGCAGAAGCTACGGCACCGAGTGGGGGAAACCCGCCTTCTCCGGGAAGCGTTGCAGCAGGAGGCTGAGGCTGGCCAAGGTGGGAGCCTGGGCCTGGAGCCCTAGAGTCTTCTGGGTAGTGTGTGGGAGTGACCCCCCTTGGATCTCAACCTTGACTGAACCTCAAATCTTTCTTCGCCCCTGATTTCTGCTCCAACTCTCAGTGTCTCTGCACAGCTTGATAGAAACTCCCGCCAAGGGGACTGGGCCAAGTGAGGTGAGTAATGGACCGAGAGGTGGAGATTGACCTGAAAATGCAATCTTTGAGGGATCTCGAATCTATGAAGTGATGGAGATTAGGCCTCAGATAGATGCACTGAGGTGGGGTAAGGGAATGCCAGAGAGGTGAGAGGCAGTCCTATCTTCAAGAGCTGAGTGAGGAGGCAGTATGTGGCCCCTGCTCAGGCCTTCCCTGCCCACAGGCCCTGGCCACATTGCTGCAGGAGACTGTTGGAGACCTGGAGGCCACCCAGGCCCTGGTATTGAAGAGGATCCAGATTTGGAAACGGCAGCAGCAGCTGGCGGGGAATGGTGCACCGTTTGATGAGAACCTGACCCAACTACAGGAGAGGTTGGGGCAGGGCTGAGAGGGAAGGGAGTGGGCTGGGGGTCGACACCCACTGTTTCTGCTGGAGGACCCACAGATGTGAGAGAGAAAGAGCCAGGCGAGAGGGCCTTGGAGTGGGCCAAGGTTCAGAAGGCAGTCCCAGCAGAGCTATCTATGCGCACTGTTGTTCAGGTCGCGTCCTGTACAAGTGTGCCCAGCCAAGGGGGCACAAGAGGGAGTTCATCCCGCCCACGGTTTTCTCTTCAAGCCCCATCCCAGAGGAATGGGACTCCTTTTCTATTTGGCCTGTCAGGCAGAGCACCCTTTAATTTACGCAAAAGCAGCATGCACATTGGCAGCTGACCTCGATATCAGAGCCCTGGGGAAGAAGCAGCTGGGTTTCCAGAGGGAGTCTAGGCACTGAGGAGGAACCTCCCATCCAGAGCCAACGCAGGTCCCAGAACCCTTTCAGCCCAGGTGCCTTGCAAGCCACACCCACTGCCCCTCCCACCCTTCTACACACACTATCTTGCTTTATTCCAGTGTTTAGAGGTAGAACGTCTGGGCTAGAACAGGTAGCCTGAATCCTAAGCCCCCTGACCACTATCTTGCCCCTAGGTGTGAAAGCCTGGTGGACATTTATTTCCAGCTGCAGCAGGAGGTGGGGGCAGCTGGTGGGGAGCTTGAGCCCAAGACCCAGGCAGCACTGATTAGCCGGCTGGATGAAGTCCTGCAAACCCTCGTCAGAAGGTAGGCCCTGTGAGCCCCCAGCCTGGCCTGGAGCAGGCCGCAAGGAAGGAAGGAAGAGGGTTAGAGTTGTGGGGAGGGCACCAGGAGGACCCAGCCACTAAATCCCCTGTGTTTTCCTCACTTCCAGCTCTTTCCTGGTGGAGAAGCAGCCCCCCCAGGTTCTGAAAACTCAGACCAAGTTTCAGGCCGGAGTTCGATTCCTGCTGGGCCCACGGTTCCTGGGGACCCCAGCCAAGTTTCCGCTGGTCAAGGCTGACATGGTGACCGAGAAGCAGGCGAGGGAGCTGAGCAGCTCCCAGGGACCAGGGGCCGGAGTGTAAGCTGGGGCTGGAGCAGGCCTCTTGGGGTGGTGAAGGCTGGAGAAGCCTGGGGAATTGACACTTTTAAGGGATGGAAGGCCATGGGATGAATGATCAAGGCAGAGGAAGGGGAGGTTCCTGTCAGTGTTGGATTGGGCCGGGCATCATGATTTGGCCGAGATGGGATGCCTCTCTTAAGAACTCAGCAGGGAAAATGGAGATGGAGATGTGGAGCCAGAAGTCCATGCTACTGACCCGTGGACTCAAGCTCCTCTCCACACCTGGTCCAGCGCACTCACTACCTGACCTCCCCTGGCAGAGAAAGCACTGGGGAAATCACCAACAACACTGTGCCCTTCGAAAACATTGGTTCTGGGAACTGCTGCTCTGCCCTGTTCAAAAACCTGGTGAGGGCTTCAGGGAGCTTCGGGCAGGAGGAAGGGGTCCTTAGACTGTGGGACTCTCCTTGGAGAGGGTGTTGGGAGCCCAGGGCTTTCTGTCCTCACTCATGCTCTCCCTCATCCCATGCTGCAGCTGCTGAAGAAAATCAAGCGATGTGAGCGGAAGGGCACCGAATCCGTCACTGAGGAGAAGTGTGCTGTGCTCTTTTCTACCACCTTCATGCTCGGCCCCAACAAACTCCCCATCCAGCTCCAGGTGACCAAATCCCCAGCTCCGTCCTGTCTGGGACCCCAGGTCCCCTCCATGGCACAAACTGGGGCCCTGGATCCTCACTCCTTCATGACTGCTCCATACCCTTTGTGTCTGGCACTCATGCCGGCATGAGCAGGGAGGAGCAAGAACACGGAGTGCAGATGGCAGGGAATAACAGTGTAGTAGCAACTAGCACCTTTTTGTAGACCAGGGCACTGTTTTATTTATCTTAAATTTTTTGTATTTTATTTATATTAGACAGAAAGAGAAACATCAATTTGTTGTTCCACTTATTTATACATTCATTGGTTGAGTCTTATGTGTGCCCTGACCAGGGATCGAACCCACAGCCTTGGCTTATCGGGGCGATGCTCTAACCAAGTGAGCTACCTGGCCAGGGCCAGGGCACTGTTTTAAGTCACACACACACACACACACACACACACACACACACACACACACACACACACGGTTCTCACAATAACATGTGAGAAGGGTATGATTACCAGCCTCATTTTACAGATGAGGACATTGAGTAATTTGCCCAGGTCACATAGTTACTAAGTATTAGAGCTGGTATTTGAAACCTGAAGGCCTGCTCCGTAGCACTGACTCATAAACACTTTTCTACGTTAAAGCCCCAGTTGAGCTTTGGAAAGCATTTGATAACATACCATGAGCTTTTAATTATGTCGTGTGAGTCCAGTAGTTTCCCTCTCAGAGCCAGTCCCCTAAGGAGGCCCTTTGCTGCAGTATGAAGAACCCCTTCTCCTCACCCCCTTTAGGCTCTGTCTCTGCCCCTGGTGGTCATCGTCCATGGCAACCAAGACAACAATGCCAAAGCCACCATCCTCTGGGACAATGCCTTCTCTGAGATGGTGAGAAAGACTTGGAATTGGGGGGAGACAGGGTGGGCGCTAACATGGGGAGCGGGGTACAGTAGGCTGTTGGGTTGACAGGCATGTTCAAGTGGGAGTAACCTTACCTTCTTCTGATGGACCTGCTTTCATACTTCTGGCCTCTTTTCATACCATCCTTGACTACCATGTCGTAGCACCCTAAACTGTTGGAAAAGCACCATCTTTGTGAGCGAGCTCATGGGGCCCTGTCTGGGAGGGGCAGCCTCGGAGAGGTGGAAAGAATAAAGGCCCTTCCTGAGGAAGAATGGGGGTGATAGCCTGAGGCACCGTCTCCTTTCCCTTTCGCCCCAGGACCGTGTGCCCTTTGTGGTGGCTGAGCGGGTGCCTTGGGAGAAGATGTGTGAAACTCTGAACCTCAAGTTCATGGCTGAGGTGGGCACCAACCAGGGGCTACTCCCAGAACACTTCCTCTTCCTGGCCCAGAAGATTTTCAACGACAACAGCCTCAGCATAGAGGCCTTTCAGCACCGTTCTGTGTCCTGGTCACAGTTCAACAAGGTCATTCCCCTGCCCTTTGGACCTCCCACGCTCAAGCTCTTCATCCCTGGGGCACTCAGGGCCTCCTCATCCTCCACCCAGGGACTGATTGCTGGGATCGTCACCATGCCCCATCATGTCAATCAGAAAGGCCTTGTCATGGCCCAGGCAGGAAAACTGCCTGGCTCAGGGGTCAGCCCAGGGGATGTGTTCTCTGGCATCTCTCAGGTTTTGGTTTGGGGGCCCTCTGTCTTCCCTCTTTACCAGTGACTTGCATGACCCACCCAGATTGTGTGTAAACACAGCTCAAAATAACTTTGACCCATTGGGAAAATAGTTTCCTATTGCAAAAACCAGTATGAGCCCTGGCCGATGTGGCTCAGTTGGTGTCATCCCATAGACCAAAAGGTCATGGGTTCAATTCCCAGTCAGGGCACATGCCTAGGTTGTGGGTTTGGTTTCTGGTTGGGGTGATGTTTCTCTCCCTGTCTCTCTCCTTCCCTTCTCCTCTAAAATCATGAGCATGTCCTCAGGTGAAGAGAAAAAATAAAAACTGGGATGAAATCCCACTGGGACATGGAATAATATCAGCAACCATGTGTTGATAGCTTACTATGTGTGAGGGACTGTGCTTAGCACTTTTACGTATTTCTCTCATTTAATCCTCCCAACATCCGAGGTGGGTATTATTATCCTTGTTTTGTAGACCAGGAACCTGATGCTCAGAGGGGTTAAGTAGTTTGTCTAAGGCTTCCCAGCAGGTGAGTGTCCTGGCTAGGCTGGAACCCCATATTTCTGACCCTTGCTCTTAGCTTCTATATTTTACTCCCTTCAAAATAAGATGGCTCAGAACTGAGTGTGTTACAAGAACAGGGGAGAAAGATCTGGGTGTTTTGGTTGACCGCCAGCTGGGTAAATGCAGTCATGTACTGCTTGCTTAGAAAAAAAGGAAGAAAGAAAAACCCGCATGACCAGAGGATGTGTTAGCAAAGGGAGCAGGACACCTACACCCGGCAGCCGCCTTCTCTGGACTCCACCTCCTCCAGGTCTCTTTAGGGATGCAGGGAGCACAGTGGTCATGAGGAGCTCCGGCCCAGACTTCGTGAGCTCAATCCCAGCTTTGCCTCTCACCGGCTGTGTGGGCCTGAGCAACTTATTTGGCCTTTCTGGGCTTCCATTCTTTATCTGTAAGATGGGATAGTTATAAGGCCTACCTCTGGAGCTTTGTAAAGGTCAGATAAATTCATTTATGGAAAGGGCTTGGAATAATGCCTGACACATGGTAAATGAGTGTTGGCCACTGTCATTGATGGGGTCTCAAGTCCAGTTTGGTCCCTCTGCCTTGTGATTCTGTCATGTGGGTAATCATGACACGCAGCCCAGTGCTTGCCCTGACCAGGCTCCAGCTCTGGCCCTTTCATGCGCACACCAGCTCCCCGCTCCCCACAGGAGATCCTGCTGGGTCGTGGCTTCACCTTTTGGCAGTGGTTCGATGGTGTCCTGGACCTCACCAAACGCTGTCTCAAGAGCTACTGGTCAGATCGGTGAGTCTCTGCCCCAGCTGGCCTGAGCAGCTGTACTTCCAGCTTCCTCTTCACATCCAATGCCTCCACCCCCACCCTCTCCTTCATCCCGGACAGGCTGATCATCGGCTTCATCAGCAAACAGTACGTCACCAACCTTCTTCTCAACGAACCTGATGGAACGTTCCTCCTTCGCTTCAGTGACTCAGAGATTGGAGGCATTACCATTGCCCACGTGATCCGGGGCCAGGATGGTGAGGTCACCCCAGTCAGTCCTCTGTCTCTTTGCCTTTGAGGTTTCTCCTGGGAAGGAAATAGTTTGGCTTCCTTGATGCCAACTCTGATCTCCAGAAAGTTCTTTCTTAGGTCCGACTTCTCCCTTCTGTGGTATAAACTTCCACTTTCTCACTGTGAGCTCTGTGGGGATGGAGATTAGTGGGTCCCCCTCCCCGGGACCCCCACCTGAGGTCCTCTCCTCTTTGCCTTGGTAAATTGTGAATGAGTTCTGTATGGGGGCTGGGAAAGGGGAAGAAAACCTGGATAGAGGGGACTCAGGGTCTCATTCCTATAATAGGCTCCCCACAGATAGAGAACATCCAGCCATTCTCCGCCAAAGACTTGTCCATTCGCTCACTGGGGGACCGAATCCGGGACCTTGCTCAGCTCAAAAACCTCTACCCCAAGAAACCCAAGGATGAGGCTTTCCGGAGCCACTATAAGCGTGAGCTGGAGCTAGCCATTTTGACTCCTTCCTGTTGCCCACCTCCTCCCTGGTCCCAGTTGCTCCCTCCCTGGTCACTGTGTCACCCATTTTCTCTCCCCATTTTTGTAGCCCCTCTTCTCTTACTTGCCATGCTCACTTTCCCCCCTCCCCTCCTCCCTCACCCTGGAGCATTCCATAGCTCTCCTTTCTTCCCAACAACAGACGAACAGATAGGTAAGGATGGCAGGGGTTACGTCCCAGCTACCATCAAGATGACTGTGGAAAGGTGAGTGTGGTGAGGATGATGGGTGAGGCCTGGCACTTAGTTGCAGGAAGGGGTGATGGCATCAACGATTGATCAGTCACACATACCTCCTTCCCCCGTCCAGGGACCAGCCGCTTTCCACCCCAGAGCCCCAGATGCCTACCATGGTGCCCTCTTACGATCTTAGGATGGCCCCTGACTCCATGAACATGCAGCTCAGCCCAGATATGGTGTAAGGAGCATGAGAAATGGGAATAGGAGTGGTCTGTGCAGGCAGGTTTTCGGCACGGGCGGCTGGGAGAGCAGGCGCTGGGCTCTGAAGGAGGGAATTTTCCTTTCCCTGAAAGGGGTTCATCATTCTGAGGCAGGGGCTGAGGGTGTGCAGGAGAAGGGCTGGTGTCAGAGGATTCTGCTTTCTTTCCCCAGGCCCCAGGTGTACCCGTCCCACTCTCACTCCATCCCCTCATATCAAGCCCTCCCCCGGGAAGAATCAGTCAATGTGCTGCCAGCCTTCCAGGAGTAAGTGAAGAACCTCTTGGGAATGGGGTGGGCATTCAAATTTGTTAGGAGAGCCTCTACTGGGAGAAATGGGTAGCAAAAAGTTTTCTTTGTCTCTTTAGTTCACTTCATTGAGGCTCAGTGGTTAAGGCCCAGACTACCCTGGGTTCGGATTCCAGCTCTGCTACTTAACTGACTTTGGGCAAGTTTACTTAACTCTGGTGCCTATCTGTAAAATGGAGAATAATAGTAACACCTTCCTCATAGGGTTATTATGAAGGTTAAATTAGTTAATAATATGTGTAAAGCTGAGCAAAGGACCTGGCTTATAGCAAGAGCTATGAATGTAAGGATTAGTATTCTCTCTCCTGCCGCTGCTATCCACAGTCACCTGCTATCTTGATTTTCATGTATTCATCTGTTTCAGCCTTGAAGCGATCTAGACATTTTTGTTTTCCAGGTGACACTCAGGCACTTATTAACTCTTAGTCCAGGCATGACACCTCTCTCCCAGAAGTTGAGGTGGGGGACTCAGAACCACCAAAGTTCAGAGTCCAAATAAACATCAGAAATTAGCTAATCCAGCCCCCGTCCCTTCCCAATTCCCAGCACACACTTTATGGGTGGAAGACTGAGCTCTCGGTGTAGAGACGGCTTGCCCTAGGCTATGCAGTCAAGATAAGGAGCTGAAAATTTTGTTTCCTTATTCAGTGGTCTTGACTTTGCAACATGCAGCTGCAGCTCTTGCCCAGCCTTCATTTCCCTGACCGCCTTCCTTCCCACTTCTAGACCTCACCTGCCGATGTCCCCCAGTCTGAACCAGATGAGCCTGCCCTTTGACCAACCTCACCCCCAGTGAGTGACAGTCCCCATCCTGATCCCGTGGCCCGGTTCACTCCCAGCTTTCCCCTTCCCCACCAGCATCTTATTTGCTCTCCTGGTCCCAGCAGGGGTCTGCTGCTGTGCCAGCCTCAGGAGCATGCCATATCCAGCCCCGAGCCCCTGCTCTGCCCTGATGTGACCATGGAAGAGAGCTGCTTGAGCCAGCAAGTGGGAGGGTTCTCTCAAGGCACCTGGTGAGTGGCGGCCTGGGGTGGCAGCTGAGTGTGGGCTAGAGGAGTGGGTGCCATGCCTATCCCATTGCTTTTCTCCTTCCTTCTGGCAGGGTTGGCGAAGACATGTTTCCACCTTTGCTGCCTCCCACTGAACAGGACCTCACTAAGCTTCTCCTGGAGGGGCAAGGGGAATCAGGAGGAGGGTCCTTGGGAGCCCAGCCCCTCCCACAGGCCTCCCCCTATGGGCAGTCTGTGATCTCCATGTCCCACCTGGACCTAAGGCCCAACCCCAGCTGGTAATCCCAGCTGGAGGGTCAGCTCGGCAAGACAGCTTTTCTACCCCAATGGACCTGCTCTGGACACTTGCCCATGCTGCTGCCAAGCAGCAGTTGGGGAGGGCGTCCTGCTATCCCCGCCTACTCCGTCGTGAAGAGGAAGACTTGACCGTGAGAAGGCACAGTGGGTGGAGCCTATCCACTCCTTTCCTCCTGCCGCACACCCCTGCCCTCTTCCAATACTGGAAGAGAAACTCGGGTTCCAAAGTGAGACACGCCCCAGCATGCCTGAACGCGAATACCCACACAGCTCTCCGGGAGAGATGGCGGCTGAGAAGGAAGGGAGCTGGGCAAGAGCACAGGTTAGGGCATGGAGGGCTTCTCCTCCCACTCCCAGTGCACGCATGGAAGAATGCAGACATGTGCACACACTTGCACTAGAGGCTGGGTCCTAGCCCTGTGGGGGTGAGGAAGCAGCAGTTCAGGAGACCCTGGGTGGGAGGTGAGGGGCCTGTACATTTGGTTACTGATGTGGGTTTTACACAGATTAAAAAACAAATCCTGAACAGCTTCAAGATTCCTGACAGTTAGGCGGAGGCTTTCAATTGTGTATCATGGTCCAAAGTATACCAGCTGAGTAGCTCGGTGTATAGCTGTTAAAATGTGTATACCTGAAACATGTTAGCAATAGATGTCACACACTAGTTGTATAGCCACATAAGATATTATCTGATTTTGCCCGTGACAAGTTTTGAAGTGTGAGGCACCACACAAAGAGACACTGGTGAGTGTCTTGGCCTCGGGTATATACTAACCCAGATGTATTCGGCTTTGAGTATGACTGTCCTCAGGTAGGTCTATGTGGCTGTGACACCTGCTCATGGCTTAGCTTCTGTGGCTCAACACTGCCAACCCTGCCAGAGGCAGGAGTGAGAATCCTGGGGCCAGGCCCAGGTGTGTGGTCCTTTCCTGTATCAGGGACCCTCCCCACTGCTTTTCTGAATCGCCGGTCACCAACAGTTTCCCTCCACCCTCATACCACCCCTTCTCCCTCTGGGGGGGGAGGGTCATAGATCATAAGCCATAAAATAAATTTTATTCCAAAATAACAAAATAAATAATCTACTGTACACGATCTGAAAAGAAAAATGCTCTAACTGCTCAGACAGGTGCTGTGGTCCAGCCCCTAGCTTAGGGAGACACTGAGCCCAACCCAGGCCTCCCAGGGGGGGCTGGTGAAGGGGACCCCACATCCACCACCACCCCTGCCAGAGAGGGCAGGGCAGGAGGACTTGGGGGAAAGATGGGGATGAGTGGGTAAACTGCAGCACTTGTTAAATTAAAGAAACAAACTAGAAGCACAAAAATGGGGGAGCGGAGGGATGGAAGAGCAGGTCCAGTGTTCCCAGGCCCCCACTTCTGGGGGCAGTGTTTCCATTGTAGCTGCTGGACCTTCCCAGGGAAGCCTCCCTTTCCCCCGTGTCCGAACTGAGTCCCAACTGCTCACACCACCGGTTCAAACTAGAGTATGGGAGTGTGTTGTGTAAGGGAGGGGAGAATCCCAGATGCCCTGGAAGCGGAGTCCTTGCCCCCGGGACTGTGGGAAAGGGTGAGGGGCAGCACGCACCCTCCTTGTGTCCTCTCGCCAGGCCCCTCCTCGTTATTGCTTGAAGCCCCATAGTTCTATGCCCATGGAGCAGATGGGGAGGCAGAAGAAGGGCAGCAGAAGGATCCAGGGTTGTGACCAGATGCCAGGGATGGAGAGTGTAGGGATCTCTGGGAGCCAGAAGTCCAGGGGGCCTGGGGGTGAGGACACCAGTCCGTCCCTCACTGCCGGCTGGCCTCAGCCTCCACTTTCACACTGCTTCTTCGACCTTCCACCAGAGCTGGATGGGATCCTGGGGCAGGACATCGGTCCAGCAGCCCTTCCTCGAACTCTGTAGGGAGAAAGAACAGGTTAGGAGGCTGTGGGGTAGATGCGGCAGGGAGAAGTAGTTGAGGACAGAGGCAGGGCTAGAGAAAGCTGCAAAGATGAACTTGATTTACTGTTACCACCTCCTGCCCACTGCGTGTATATGGGAGGTTCCATATCCAAGTGTGTGCACCCCCTCCCCTTTCTGGCTGTGTGTGGCTCCCTGTCTCTGTATGCGTGTCTCTCTTTCTCTGTCTCTCCCGCCTCTGCTCTGCTGGAATTTCTGGTTCTGTCAGGAGCTGTGGGGGCGGCTTGGCTCTGACCTCCCCCCTCCCCCCTTCCCAGACTGCGGCCCCTACTCTTCTCTGGCCCCTTCCCAGGCCCCACTCACCCAACCATGCCCCCCAAGTTTCTCAGAAGTCAAGTCAGCGGGAACACAGGAAGCCAGCCTCCCAGCTCCTTCCCCAAGAAGAGCCCCTCTTCCAGTCCCTTCCCCCACTTCCCACCCACACACAGTTTAAAAATACCAAGCTAGGGTTGGTGGCTTTGTCTGCTGCGTCACTCTCAGCCCAGCCGCTGCCCAGCCCTTTGCTGGTCGTCTCCCCCATCCCCCATCCACACACAAAGCATCCCCCCTTTGGGCTCTTCCACTTCCTGGCTGGGCAGCCCCATCCCAAATGCTAGCCTGCTCCACTCTTCCGCATTGGTGTTAAGTTCTATCCAAGCTTCCCTTCCGGTGACCCTCTCTCTGCTCCCTTTCACCCCCCATTCTCTGACTCCCTGCTCACCCCAGCTCCCTCTTCACAGACCTCCATTAGAGTCAGATCCTTCCCAGTGGGAAACTCGCGCAGGGTCCTCCTCTTCTCAACCCAAAGCCTGGCTGGCTGGAGCCCCTGGAGCCCCGACCATCCTACTTACTCCCCTCTCTGGTGACGACATCCCTCTTCCTCCCACCTGGCCCCAGGACACCAGGATTGCTTACATGGGGCCTGGGTGGAAGGGTGCTTGGGGACAGCACTGCTGGCTGCCTCACCTGCGAGAGGCGGCTTTGCAGGCACACAGGGGCTGAGGCGGCCCACGCGGTCGTGGGAGACGAGGCGGGCTAGCCGCAGCCCCTCATCCATCAGTGTCTGCTGCAGGATGTGGCGGCTCCACAGCCCATGGGCTGGCAATGCCAGAGGCAGGTCAGCAGGGGGCGGCGTCAGCCTTGGGCATGACCCCACAGCTGTGGGCATGGGCACTGGTCAGGTAAGGGACTATAGTCAACAGAACCCCCACCCTCAACCACAAAGCCAGACCCATAGTTCCAGGCCCTTCTGTCCCCATCCAGCCAGGCCTCCCAACTCTGTTCCGGGCAGTAGCCCCCTGGCTCCCTTCTCCCACTCCTTCCACCCTCCCCCCAGAGAAGAGCAGTGTTCTGATGCACACTCACCCTGCAAGTGTCCATCTAGACTCTCCCCGGACAGGCTGGCACTGTCTTCCTCCAGGCTGGGGCGGTATGGGGGTATGTACGACTCAGGGCCTGGGGGAGGCTGCTGGATTTCAGAGTGACTTTGCTCTCCAACCTGTGGATGCCCCAAATAGGAAATGAGAACCTGGCAAGGGAGGGTGTTGGGGAAGGTTGCCCTAATGCCCTACATGCACCGTGGAAAATCTACCTCCTGTTTCAGCTTCTTCAGTGGGGGGCCTCCCAATTCTTCAGGGTGGAGCCTGCAAAGATGGAGAAGAAGGAGGTGAGGCTGGGAAGCAACACATCATGGGCAGGGCACAGAAAGTGGTGAGGGGCATGCAGTATTTCAAGATGCTGGAGAGGAGCTAGCTAAACAGGAATCCCCAGCTGAGGCACTACTGTTAGAGGGGACCTGAGCTAGATGGGGAAGGACCAGACCTCAGACACGTGGACTTCATTAAAGGCAGGGCATGCAGGTGGGTGGCAAGCAGGCCTGGAGGTGCCTCAAGGGGAGGTCAGGATGTGACCCGGCTCCTTGGCAGGATTCGAATCTAGAAAGGACCTGGAAAAGGGATCTCACCTGGAGCCCTTCAAGGAGGACAGATAGGTGCTCTCTCGAGCCACTTGGCGTGATAAGGAAAAAAGTTCTACCCTCCGCAGCAGGAGCGTGTTGTCCCTCATGCAGAACTGGGCAGCAGCCTCATTGATGGTCAGCTGTGGAGACAGGAGCCAGAACAGTCAGAATGCTAACTCCCCGCTGCCTTGCCCGGACCTCCTCACAAGCCTTCACCATCAGACGAATGAGGCCCACCCATCAGATGCTTGCTTGGGTTTTGACACTACCCAGGAGTTTCCTGAGAAGACATAGGTCAGCACCCATAGCTTCCTAGGAATGCCCCAGGCCTCCTCCATTCCTGTGAGGTCTTCAGCAGAATGCAGCTGGGCAGCTGGGCTCTCACCTGTGTCCCTACTTCCCCCTCAGCCGAGGAGGGAAGCACTGCAGCAGCTGGAACTGGGGGTGGGGGGAGGGAATCAGGGCGTGGAATCCTGGTCATGGGACAATGAAACAGACTTGAGGAGAAGAAGGATTCTTGGAGGTGAGTAGGTTGAGGCCTGGGAGCCACCAAAAGCAATACTGGGAGACTGGGGTCCTCACCTCATGCAGGCTAAGCTGCTTGCCTTCCCGCCTCTTAGAGTCAAAGCGGCCGTAGATGATGCTGTATTTGCGGATCTCCTCTTCCTTTTGGCTGTCATTATCATCCATCTCAAAGATGTGCCCCACGCTCCTTGCCAGCTTCTTGTTCAGCTTCAGCAGGGAAGTCACCTCCCCAGCATCTCCTCTAGGGAAGCTCCGGAAGATCCTCTCCACGCTCTCCACCACCATGCGTACCATCTCTGGCTCCAGTCTATCAGGAGCACCCCCAGCCCCAGCTGCTGCCAAACCTCCAGCCCCAGTTCCCTCGGGGACTCCTCCCCCTGCAGGTGGGGAAAAGGGGGGTGAACCAGCCTCCTCTTCTCCTCCCGCCCCAACATCGGACTCTGGAGTGCTCCTGCCTGGCCACATTCGGGCGTCTGCTGCCCCAGGTCCCCCAGGCACTGGTGATAGCTTCTCTCCAAGTTCAAGGGGGCTCTTAGGGCTAAAACTTCGAGCACTGCCAGCCTTTTCCCCTGGACTGCCATGCCCATTGCTCATGCTCCCTTTCCGGGTGCCTGCAGTCTCAGAGATCTTGAACAGCGGAATGCTGGATACAGGCACAGCCGGCACTGGCTGGCTGAAGAGCCCTGGGTTGGTGGCCCACTCTCTCAGTGCCTTCTGTAGGCGTCGGACATGGAGGGGCTTGGTGGCCATGCCCACAAGTGCCATGATCTCCAGGAACTCCTCCTCACCCGCCTCGCACAGTTGCTGCACGTCGTCCCCTCCCTGCTGGATGAAGGTCTCATAGTAGGAAAGAAGATTGGCGCGCTGCAGGACGCGGTACAGCTGAAGCTCCCCCAGTGTCCGAGGCAGAGCCATGACTCGGGCACTAGGCCTGGGAAGGAGGCACACATGAGAAAGAGGGGGGCAGTCAGTCCAAGTCCCTCCACTGGGTACAAACCCACACCCACAATTGTCTTCTCTTCCCTGCCTGTTTCTCTCCTCCTCTCTCTTTTGAAAGCTCTCCCTGTTCAGTACCCAGGCCTGGGCACAGACTATGAGAATCAAGTACCGCTCAGAGATATAGACATGCCAGGGCCATCCCAGACTAGCCAGAAGTGCCAAAATCCAGCCCAGTCGCTGCAGAAGTCTAATGCTCTTAACTCCCATCCTCAGCTTTTACCTTCCTGTCCTGGGACACGGGGACCTTGAGTGCTGAAGCTAACTAGCACATCCTGTAATGGTTTTAGGTCCCCTTCCTCCAGAACATGGTCCTCACCTTCCACCCTAAGCACTAGCAGTCTCCCCATTACTCAAGCTGTCATCCTGCACTGAAGTGAATAAAGGATCTGCTGTCCTCCCAAGAGTAGATAGATATCTGGGACCACTGCTGGTCAGCTTCACTCCCTGATGGTATTCTGCCCTTGCACCTAAGACAGAGATGTGTGGCCCCTTCCACACCCTCTTCCCAACCTGTGAGCCGGGTGGATCCCCCGCTCTGCCACCTGAAGCTTTCCCAACAGATTAAGCATTTTCAGC